AACAGACGTCACTAACTGTTGATAATTACTTAGTTGCTACCTTACCCGACAGTATGGAAGGAGGCTATTATTAGAACTTATGACCAGTTGGGCAGATTCTAATGACAGATTAATATACCATGTTATGAGAGTAATAACAGTTTGCATGACCTGGAAGTAGTTTAGTAATGATACTATGATTATCTAAACTTCTATTATTATTTCGATGGGATGGGTGTTGAGTAGTGGTTATAAACTTTAGAGTATTGAATATTTGCGTAGTATTGGTGTTAAGGACATCAAAATGTAGCTACTCGTAACTGTTAGATTTTAATTTTTTGCTTTATTTCGTTTATTTAATTTTATTTCCGAAAGTTTAAAAACTTCTCCGATATTAGCATCCAGTAGTGAAAATTAGGATAACTTTAAATTGCAGGGTATTTATCGTAAAAATATGACAATACAATACCAATTTTTATACATTTAATAATGTAATCTTATCTAAGATTCGTAATTGTCAAATGGCCTTCACAAACCAGCATTCTGATATTGTTTTATTATTAATATTTATTACAAAAAAAAAAAACTAGAAATTAATAATAGTAAAACAATTATTTCATATTAAAAATATCAAACGAAATTTGCTAAAAATAGAAAACTTTGCAAATTTAGAAATTATTGCGCCAAAATTATGTTTTTGAAATAAAATAGGGAAAAAAAACTAGGGTTTACATTATATAAGAGAGAATCATTAGTTTCTTCTAAAATAAGTTCAAATGACATTTCTTGTGTCATAAAATTTCCATATTTTAGTGAGAACTTAGCCGGTTTTTACAGTTTGTAGAACTTGTACTTCAATTTAAAAATTTTCATAAAATTTTCAAATCTTAACTGAACTATAAAATCGGCCTATAACCTCTTAAGTCCCCCTTATTATACAACACAATGCTTAAGTGATGGATCCCATTAACATTAAAAGTTCAAGGGCTAGTTCAAAGCAGACGTGGGGTAATGTTTACTCAATTATACTTTAGAAATAATTGTAATGGACCAAATTTCAATTACATTAACTAGTAACTGATAAAGCTTTAATAACAACTACTTTAAATGTTATTGTAATTGAAAATGTAATCATCACCCTCCAAGCCTGGTTCAATGCCACTTCCTTTCAGTTTTTAAACTGTTTAAATGTAAAAATAAACAATAAAAATTGCCGTCTCCCCCTTTTATCAAAAGTTCTAAGTCACAGTCTGTCAATTCCACTTTATTTCGTTCAGTGTATTCACAATCAATTCAATTTAATCACCTGTTTCAGTGTGTTGTTATTTTTTTGCGAGCAATTTTTCTGTTGATTTATTGTAGTTCGTAGTTCATTAGTATGAGTATATTTTAAATTATTCTACATTTCCTTTTTAATTTGCACTATTAAAGTCAAACGGAAACATTTCATTTCCCATGCTCTCTTTCGTTCAATCATCATGTGTGTGTCTGTGTGCGTTCGTTGTGTGCAAAATCGGAATATTTTATTATTAGTTTGTTGCTTTATTTTTACAAAATTGTTACACAGTAATTTGACACCTTTTATCGGGGATGCCAGATAATCATGATTTGAGATTTATTTGAAAAATTTCTGTTTATTTCTCGCTTGATAATATTAGAGTATGCTTGATATATTAAATTCCACAATTTTTAAAATTTTCAGAAGTCAAATTTCGATACCTATAGTCCTAATTCAAAAATCTGAAGTAAAATAATTGTTTTAAAAACAATTTTTAAAATTGTCTGGCATCCCTGACAATATATTATTCGCTTGTGGGTGAATATGAGAATATAGGAGAGTGAGAGGAAATCTATCACACATTCATCATTTGTAGAATTGTAAATCATATGAAATCACAACTAAATATGTAATAACTAGAAACAATTTAAGAACTCTACTCATACATTTGACAAGCTAGACAAATCAAGAGAATGACTGAAACGTTTGACAGTCTGTCAAATGATGACGACTTGCTAAATGGCATAGTAACCAAGTGTAGTAAATAATTGAATAAACTGAATGATTGAATGTCTGCTTGAAAAAAAGGAAAAAAAGTGATCAAGTGCAATAAAATTTAAATATTTAGAAGTAAAGAGGAAAATTGCATGAATAATGAATTTATATTTTTTTCGCAACTTCATTCAGTATAATATTGAAATTTAGAAACATTGTCGCATGTGTTTCTTTAAAGGTTTATTCACATTGATGAAATATGTACATGATCATTCTTAAATTAGTTTTATTTTCGCTTATGTTGTCAAATATTTGATAAATGTGAAAACATCCCAGGAAAAACTTTTATTGAGTTAAAATGCTAATAAAACTTTTTTCCCTACTTATTCATTAGTATTTTAACTCATTATTTTAATATGGTGATGTCATTGGAGGCAAGTACTTTCCGCAAATAGAGAGTTAAAGAAGTACTATCCTAAGTAATGCAGACAGTAAGTAGTAGTCATTGAAAAGTAAGTGATTATATAAGTACAAGATTTCAAATTTCCAAATAGCTCCAATATTAAAGAACTTAAATAATCAATATTTATTAAGATAATTAACTATTATTGCTGGTAAATAAATTCTTTTGACAACTTTTTTTTCTGTTTTGAATAACAGTTGTTATTTTTATTAAAATTTCTTTCGTCTTTATAATTTTTCGTCCAAAAATTGTATAAATCATAAAAAGAAGCTATAAAAACATTTGACTAAACAATCATTTGCTGTTTTTATTAATATTTTTATTTATATTTTACTTGGTATTGTTGCTGTCGTTTTTGTTGTTGATGGTGGTACACGTAATTTATTTAAAATCAAGCGGAGCCACAAAGTCTGGCTACGGATTTTTTTAATATTTTGGATTATTCTTCTTCTATATTTACTCAGCTATGAAAATATATTTAGAGTGTTTTTTTTGTTCCACAATAAAATGTGAAAAATTAAAAAAAAAAGAATTCAATAAACAATGTTTTATTACCGTGACAGATTGTGAGAACATGTTAAAATAAAAATCCAACATTATTAACAAAAATGAAATTTAAAATGTTTAACAAAATTAATTTATATGAGTAAAAATAAACAAGCTGACCTCCAAATACGTTTCATAGATAAAGTTTTAAATTTATTTATTATTTTTTTAGATCAATAAAGTTTAAAAAGAAATTATGTTAAACAGAAAATGTGAATAATAAATTTATAGTTTAAAAGTAAACAAAAAAAGAAAAAAACTCAACTCTAAAAACTAATTTACATAAAAACCAGAAAAAATGTCTTACAAAAATTGGCAGCCATTGTTGTGAGCTCTCGTATTCATTGGCATTTTATATGTAAATTGTTTTTTATTACACATAAACCAAATATTATTACACCAAAAATTAATTTAAGTTATTAAAATATTATAAAACAACCACTAACAAAATTAATATACACCAATAATTCCCCGAAAAAAAGTTTAATTAAAAAAACAACAACAAAATGTTAAAAGTCCAAATGATAGAACAACAACAAGTTGGTGGAGGTAACAACGATTCTAACCGAGATTCAACTACTTCAACTACTAGTGTTAAGCAGCAGTCAGAATCAACATCACCCAAACGCTTGAGTAGTGGCGGTGGTGGTGGCAGTGGTAGTATTATTACAAAAACACCCACCTCATCGCCCTTGCATCATCCAGTGCCACAGAGACAAATGACTACTGGTAGTATTAAGTCGGCTAGTCAGGGCTCATCGCCTGCAGGGTAGGTACATTATTTTTATTATTTGGTCCAGCAAAACTAAGTCTTTGTTTAATACAATTTTTATCGGTTCAATTAATTATTTATTTTAAATTTAGAAAATTTTTCTTAACGAATGTGAAGTCTCATTAAATATTTTATTTTTAACTAAAAATTTGATTTTTTTATATAAAAAACTTTTTTATTAAAATTTTAAATTATACCATCTCAAAAATAAGTAATTAATTATAGTCTGGTTTGACCGATATTATGGTATCCTATCGAGATAAGTTCGGTTCCACAGAGGAGTGACTGGACTAAGCGTTGGAAATGAGTTGGTGTTAATTGTATATGGTACGGGATGAATGTGGTGTATGCGAGCCTCACGCCCCCGTTTACCTAGTGTTAGGCCAACACAGGCAGGTACTCACGTAAAGCTACTTCGACATTCATACCCTTCCCACTATAGTAATGTAGGGTATAATCGGTAACAATGTTCATTTTAAGACTTAACATGAAAAGTCGGTTTGTCTTAAATGCAAATACTTTGTTCATGCCGAAAGAAATTTGTCACAAAGATTTGTTACAGTTTTAATTATTTTGCTGTTATTTTTAAAATGTTTTAAAATGTTGACCCACTTAAACACCCACTGCATGCGGTGTCCCAATTTTGTATTCCTCTCTAAAACTTTTGTTCTGATGACTTCAACATGGCCTGATTAATGACAGAAAAAGCATTCCATTCCACATTGTAGAGATTAAATGATTTTTGTTACAAATTTTAAAATCTAATTTCACAAAATTAAAAATTAATTATACGCTTTTGAACATCGAAATATCATTTAAAAGAAATCCGTAAAAAACTATTAGTTATGGTTGGTATTTTTAAATATTCAACATTAGGAAATGTACATGTGTTCTTTCTGTCTTTACAAAACATAGGATTTGTATGGAAAGTTTTTAAATAATCAAATGTCTTACTAAGGAGGTATTAAGACCTAAATTTCCATTCAAATTGTATATCGACCAAAACCGAATTCCTTAAATTGGCTCCATTTCAAATTTTGTTAACTTTTTATAGTTTATCGTTTCGCTTTCTTATGTTAAATTTAATCCCTTCAAGGTTGTATTGTTATTTATTTTTGTCCTAAAACTGTCACTTAATAGCAATATGTGCTCACTTTCTTTAAATACTTATTTATGAACATCCTGAAATTCTCCTAAATCCCATTTATGACAAAACTCATTTCGCAAATTACTCATTTTTGAGGTTGTTTGTTTTTAATATGCATTTATTTATTTAAATCATCGTAATTTTCACTGTTTACATTAAAATCCCTTTAAGCCAAATAAAATTGTGTTTGAGCTTGATTAATCCAAGGGATGTAGGCAGAGACACGTGTGTAAATCGAAGGCATTTGAGCCAAACCGCAAGGGATGTAACCCCAGGAAACAATACCAATCAATTCAGCAGGAGCATTTTCGTATTCCTTAACCAAGGGGCCACCGGAGTCACCATTGCAGGCAGAGATGCTTTGTTGCAAAGAGTCTGAACACAAGTTGGTTTCATGGATGGGAGCATCAGCGGGCAAAGTGGCCTTACACTTGTTGAATTCTACAATTTGGGTGGTAACAGTTTGCAAAGTACTGGCAGCAGTCAAGACATAAGATTTAGGTTGACCCCAACCATACAAATGAGTTTCACCTTCGTGGATTTCCTCGGGAGCTGGCAAAACGGCCGGTTGTACCCAGTCGTTGAATTCGAAGGGTTGTGACACATGCAAAATGGCAATATCGTAAGGTCCCACACCACCACTGTAGTTTTCATGTACTTTTCCGAAATCCACCACACGAGATTGAGTCTTGGCATCGTAATTGGTGCGCTTGTGAAGACCAGCAACAACACCCATACCCACAGGATTGCTAATGCAGTGAGCAGCGGTTAAAATCCAGTTCTTGTTGATGAGAGTGCCACCACAAATGTGCGAATGCTTGGAGGTTCTGCTCAAGGATACAATGTAAGGAGCGGAATGTGGTTCAGCATCTTGTCCCTTAATAATGTAACCAGTAGCGAAACTGGGCATTAATTTTTGAGCAATATTGGATAACGAGGAGGCATTGGCGCAGGCCACCAATAGAACACAAACTACTAAAACTTTCATGTTTACTTTTCAATTGCAAACTGATGTTTGGTGTCCAAACATTGATGTTTATATACCCCAGTATTCGTTTATGATACTAATTTTACTCCAAGATAAGTCCTTAACTTTATATGCCTTTTTCTATGGGATTTCCTTAATCAGTGGCAAATATTAATAATGATTTACAATGGTTCCATAAATTTAAAATTGATTTGTTTTTATTTTTATGTTTGAACTACTGATTTTTTATATGTCTGCTATTAATGATTAGATTTGATTTTTTCGTTTTAAGCGATTAGAATTTGAAAAAATGCAATATTAGATTAAGCTTAACAGAATTGCACAAATATTGGAATTTTGTTTTGATTATAATTTCAAAATAGTAAAAATAGAACATAAACAAAGAGCAATTATAAAAAGTCTAGGCGAACTATAATCTAAAAACTGTAACACAAATCTAGATCGGAAATTTTCAAAATTCGAGACTACAACCAATAAATTTGGCATACTTCTCCAATATTTTCATTCCTCCTACATATTATTGATAAAACAATTAATATTGAATAATTAACAACCTTAATATTGCTGAGTATTCCATGAGATTTGCTATTGATTGTATTAATTAAATTATTAATTAAACTAAGTGGTCTGAGCTAAAAGAGTGTGCTCCTCAAACGAAACATTAACATTTTGTAACCATAAATTCGAAGCACTTTTTCGGACTACTTAATTTTGTAACCGAAAATTATGAAAAAGTTACTAATAAAACAAAAATTTAATTACCTCAACTCTACCAAATATTTATAAGTATGAAACCCATAAAAATTTCGATATTTAAAACAGAAATAAACCATGAAAAATTTTACTCATTAAAGAGAGTTCTTTTCCACTACAAACAGTATTTAGTTCTTAAGAAATTTGTGGATTTTCTAAATAAATAAAATTTTTATCTATAATCAACATACAACCAGACGGGCGCACATTTGTTTTGAAATATTTTTAGACTTTTTACATATTTTCAGAAATTTCCCCTTTTTTTCTAATTTATGATTTAAAAAAAATTGAGTTTAAAGTTAAAGAACTTTCACGGCTAAAAGGTTTGATTTATTATGACATTTGGATTCTAAATAATCAATGAATGAATGGGTGAGTTTTATAGTGTATTTTTAGTTTATAGTTTAAACGAACGACATAAGAATGGAATCAAGGGTAAAATGGTTGGGTGTAGGTGGAAAATGATATTTAAGTTCCTGTTATTTAAAGTCGTCTGTCTTGTCATTAGTTTAGCTTTTGTTTTGATAGTATTTAATCCATTTTTACATATAAATTGTTTACTACTTATTTATTTACTGTTTAGCTTAAATATTTTTTTGTTTTGATTTTTAATCCTTTAATGATACGTAATCAGGGTTCGGTATTTATTATATAGTGGAAGTATGAAGCTTTTCTATGGTTTCTTTAAAGTTTTTTTTATTTTGTTTGTAAAAGTGTTAATTTGGTTGACGTGTTTGGAAACATTTATCATTTATAAAAGAATTATGTTTGTCTTGATATTTATGCTAAAGTGTGAGTTATGGGCCAACCTAAGACCTTTTAGGGCCAACAAAACTAACAAAATTTCTTAAAATATTACAAAGTTGTCTGTAGACAGTTGTTTTTCAAATGCATATCTCCCTTATAACCTCCTTCTGGTATAAATTAACAAGATTGAAAAAAATTATTATTGTAACATTGTTTATTAACGCTAAATTATTTCTATTATTATTTAATTATTATAAAGCATATGAATGTATTTTCCCCCAACTGTAAAACTAAATATTTATTTTTCATATACATATCATAATATTTCGCAATCACAATGTTGTATTTTTTGTGATAAAATTAATTCAATTCCAACCATTTAGTCGCCACAAATATGGTTAACAATTGTTGGTGATTTTTTTCTAGTTATTTTTTTGCTTATTATTTGAACAATATACAATTTAATGAAACAAAAATGACAATATTAATTAAATAATAATAAAATAGTATTTAGTTGTTATTGTTTTCTATTATTAATAAACCTAATCACGTCTATTTGGCAAAAATATTAAAATAAAAAACATTGATACCTTAAAAAAATCACACTAAATTTGTATTGTAAATATTGGAAAAAACAAAATAGTGAAGAAAAAAAATGTCATCAAACAAAAACAAACCATAAATTAATACATATTAAGTCCAATATGAATGCTAAATAATTAAATAAATAAACTATGAAAAAAACAAAATAAAACAAAACAGAAATACTTAAATCACACACAAATGCAAATAATTAAATACTTATATAGAAATACGCACGAACACTTTTTATTATTAATGATAATATTTGTATACATTGACATTAGGGTGGTTATATCACTAATAGGTTTTTAATCGTACTTAAATTTCTCGTAAATTCGAATTTCTAATGAAGTTTTAACTTCTAGTAAAAATTGGAATTTAAAATGAAATTTTGAACTTGCGAAAATTTTCTAATTGTAGGTGACAAATCTCAAAATTCCAAATTATATGGGAGAAGAAAGCTGTGCCATATAAAGGATTCTAGATAGATCTAGAATAGATGGATAGATAGATAGTTAGTAGTATGATAGATAGATAGATAGATAGATAGTAGATAGATAGATAGATAGATTAGATAGATAGATAGATAGATAGATTGATTAGATAGATAGATAGAAGATAGATAGATAATAGAAGATAGAAGATAGATAGATAGATAGATAGATCGATAGCTAGATAGATAGTAGATGATAGATAGAAGATAGATAGCTAGATAGATAGATAGATAGAAGAAGAAGAAGATAATAGAGGATAGATAGATATATAGATAGATAGAAGAGATAGATGATAGATAGCTAGATAGATTAGATAGTAGAAGATAGATAGATAGATAGATAGATAGATAGATGATAGTAGATTAGATAGATAGATAGATAGGACAGATAGATAGATAGTAGATAGATAGATAGATCGATAGATAGATAGATAGAAGATCGATTGATAGAGAGATAGATAGATAGATAGATAGATAGGATAGATAGATAGATAGATAAGAGATAGATAGATAGATAGATAGATAGATAGATCGCTGCGCTCGCTCGCTCGCCTCGCTCCTCGCTCGCTCGCTCGCTCGCTCGCTCGCTCGCTCGCTCGCTCGCTCGCTCGCCGCTCGCTCGCTCCTCTCGCTCGCTCGCTGCTCGCTCGCTCGCTCGCTCGCTCGCTCGCTCGCTGCTCGCTCGCTCGCTCGCTCGCTCGCTCGCTCGCTCGCTCGCTCCTCCTCGCTCGCTCGCTCGCTCGCTCGCTCGCTCGCTCCTCGCTCGCTCGCTCGCTCGCTCGCTCGCTCGCTCGCTCGCTCGCTCGCTCGTCGCTCCTCGCTCGCTCGCTCGCTCGCTCGCTCGCTCTCGCTCCTCCGCTGGTTTCGCCTTTATCAATTTTGTCGGGCTGTGTCTTTACTTTCCCCCTGGAGCCGTCTTCATTTACCGGAAATTGGAAACCTTCACAGTAAATACTACTAAAACTAGGATTTTTTTCAGTGTATAAAACCGGCTTATATTTCGAACAAAATGTATTAAATTGATGTTTTTGTTTTAGAACAATACAAGTAAATTCTAAACGAATTATGTCACTATATTATTATATTGAATTTTTATTATGTGCGACAAACAATAGATCGATTAAGCAAATATTCAAAATCAAAATTTAAAAAAACTAGTTTTTGAACAAAAATTTACAGCTACAAAGTGAAAGCGAGAAGAACAACACAAAAATGTTTCACTTTCATTGTACGATTGTTTAGTTTTATTAATAAAAAATAAATAAAGTTCTGCCCATTAAAGAGCGAGTAACAGAAAAACGTTCTTTAATAGTTTTGTTTTTATGTTACAGAAATATTTTAGTTTTAATTCTTTTGGCCTTATTTAGCATACATTGTTATTTGCTGTTGTTATTTTTCTGCTCCATCAAGCAAAAATTATTATTAAATTGTGGTTTCCCAAACTCGAACGCAGAATAAACGAACACCCAGAGAAGAAACAAAATAAAAATCATAATTTCAGCAACAACTTTTAGCATTTAAGCACACATTAACATGACACTCGAGGCATAAAACAAACAGTCGTATGTGACACTTGAATTTTTTTGCCGAAGCAAAAAAGAATCTATAAAAACTTGACAGAGCCAAGTAAATTATTCTGAAGAGAATGAGTGACACAAAAAATCATATATCAGATAAACAGATACAAATAATGAACACTACATAAGCAAGACAAAAATACCGACAAATACTGAAAAAAAAACGTTATTTTTATTATTATGCCTCTAAGGGTAAATTAAAAAGATACAAAATAAAATTATTAACAAAAAGCAAACTTTTTTATGTTTGTTTTAACAACAAAAACTGCCATTAAACATGACAAGGAGTTGCCAATTTTTATCAAACAAAATAAATCAATGTCAAACACCGTTTAAGTACATTTTGAATAATCAAATTATAAACAAATTTAACATTTTTTTTTTTTTTTTAATTTTGACACATGTGTCATTGTTTAAGGGTGAACATATTAAAGTCAAACTCGGTTTGTTTTACTTGTTGTTAAACAGAAAATCTATTTATAAAGATATTTAATTGATTTAAAACGGATTTATTTTTCTATAAAAGCAAAATAAAGTTTGAAATTTATGTTTTTTCAGTTATAAAGTCAATTTTATTTTATTACCATGATACTTGACAAATAATGTCATGGTTTGTTAAAGAAATTTTTATAGACTTATTTTTCTTTATTGTTTTCTTATTATTTATTTTTTTTTTTTTTGCACCAAACCTACAACTTTTAGACGTTTTAGAAAAAGTTACAGTAACAATAAAAATATATGTAGATTGCAAAAAAAAAAAATATGTAAAGAATAAGCTAAAGTAAAAAATATATAACAAATAAATTTGTAAAAACGTAGAAAAATCACGTTTCCGTTTAACTCCCACCTACACACCTCATAAACGTATGATGTAGGTTCGTTCGTATAGT